TTAAGCAAATGTGACTTAAAACAATACACAAACCCAGTCACTGACTCAGTGCTTTGGTTGTCAATTCCTCTAATTAAGAGACTGCTGAAGATTAGTATGATGTTTTATCACCCATAAAGAAGAAAGATAATTTCAATCTTTTTTCACAATTAGAAGGGACCAATGGATTCTGCTAGATATATAACAACAGATATTACTGGTATGCTCATACTGGATGAATCTGTGGTTCTTTCACATCTATTGACCTACACTGACACCTAGTGGCTGCTTGGCTTCCAGATCTGAGATAGAGCTTTCTAAATTTCATCTCGGGGGAAATGTTTTGGATACAATGAAAAATTTGATTTTAATATCTAAGCTTCCTAGACCCTTGAAGTCCAGCTTGTTGACTGATGAAAAGCACGGTACTAAAAACCAGAATCTCCTTTAGATTAGGGAGATCTCCAATGAAATATGTTTTTAGATTCTTAAGATTTTTGTGGACACCTAAATATAAGAATCCTTCAAAGGTCAAAGAAGGCAAGGAATTACAAAAACAAGATTAAACATATCTTCAGTTTTCCCTAAAATAACACACAAAATAGTGGCCTCCCGATTTAGGGTAAACATTGAAGACAGTGTTTATTAAACTTTATTTTTCCTCAGGAACTTTTCCCACTTTTAAAAATTATGGAGGACTGCAAAGGACTTTTTGTTTGTATGGATTATATTTATCAATATTTACCACATTAAAAATTTACATTGATGCATTTGCTGCCACTGCCACTTTTCATAATTGTTTGATGGGATTTAATATTATGTTATTTTTCAACATTGGCTGGCAAATCATTTTGATTTTGCAAACCCCTGAGAGGGACTTGGGGACCCCCTAGCGTCCTAGGATCAAATTTTAAGAAGGATTGGCTTAAGAGAAGAATGGAAGCATTGCAGCTGAACAATAGTTCCCAGGATCCCACATACCTGACATCACACAGAAGGTTACAAAGAGGGTCTCTGCATCACCTCCAGGGCTACTTGTTGTTATTGATCCAGAGATTGAGCAAATGCAGATTTACAACTTGTATTGTTTAACTCTGCACACTCACTCAGATGTACACATACAAGTGCCTCCATGTGTAGTTCACATGGCAACCATTTTTTTTTTTTTTTTTTAAGAACCATTCCTTGTGAGACTTTTTCAAGATCTCCATTCTGGTATTCTTCCACTGACTGTGCAAGCTGAAATCTTCTAGAATAAACCCTTCTGCCTCTATGACCTGCCTTGATTATTTCTTATTTAGCCATACTTTTGTACCTATGCACTCTTACCTTCACACAAATACATGGCACCAGATAGACAACAAGTTTCTATGAATCAAAAAAACAAATCAATATATAACATTGGTAACCAGAGGATGACACTGGTTGGGATTGCTAGCAGGGGTAATTAAGCAACATCTGCAGGACCAAAAGTTACCCACTCCTGATTTAGGAATATTCAAAATGGATTGGGATGACCTAATGTGGCAACATCCATGTGGTTTGAAGAAGGAGGACAGGAAAACTGTTGAACTTTGGTGTTGGAAAAGTTTTCTAATACCATGCACAACCAAAATAATCAAACCAGTGGATCATCAAACAAATCAACTCAGAGTGCTTACCTAAGGCAGAAATGGTCATGCTCAAATTACCCGACTTTGAACATATTATGTGAAGACTTAGTTCTCTAGAGAAGGTGCTAATGCTGGGAAGGATGGAAAGAAAGAGAAACAGCAGCAAGGAGAATGGACTCAATTACAGTGGCAAAGAATGCATTGTTGGAAGACCTGAAAGAACAGATAGGCACAGGTCTTCACACAAAAAAATCTATCTGTGTGGTTGCTAGGAACTGAAAATGACTAGATGGCACCTAAGCAAGCAAGCATATAAGGTTTGTCCACATGTGTGAAGGACAGTAAACCTGGGCCTACACATTATAAGAGACAAAGGAGTAGGGGGAAAGAGAACCAGCTAACCTTTTTTTTAAAATTAGAGAAAACATATTTCTTTTTTAGAATTCGCATGGAATTTGCAGACTAGACATTGCCTTTAAATATATGTGTAATCAAACTGTAGAGTCGGAAAAAATGCTGCAAGCAAAAGAGCAGATAACTGGGGAGACATGCCTATTATTCAAAGGTACTGTCAGCATTAACGGTATCTATCGAATGTTTTTTTAGCTCATTCCAATAGATGAAGTTCTGCAGTATCCAGATTGGAATCACTTACTGTGAAACCATTCATAACAGTAAACAATGTATTAACATTTAAAACATTCATTGGGCTGGTTACTGTTGAAGGCAAAGCACTTCCCTTAATACATTTGCATATCTTGATGGAAGGAAATCCAGCAATGAATGAAGGGTAACTTCAGCAGTCAAACATCAGCTGCAAACATCTGGTTATCAGTTCTATGTTCCAGGAAATAACATGGGCTTTATCTGACCCACCAAAGAATTGTTCAAGATGGATATAATATAACTCTCATTTTGCATAGTCTTCCTAATTAATTTATATGCATTTCTAGGTATGTCTGAGTAAATACTATGTATGACTGAGTAAATGCAGCTATGAAGATTGTTGGACGAGCAGGCACAAAAACAGCCAGGGAAATTATTGAAGCCTGGGAAACAGACCCCTCATCAGTCAACAGGAGCGCTGTTTCACCATCAGCTTATCAAGTACTTAGGAGGCGAGGGCTTGGCAGCACAAGGAAAACAATAGCCGATGACTTAATAGCCAGCCATCAACACCCCAATCAACATCTAAAAAGTCAAATGCAATAGGCATCATATAAATACTCCACATAGAACAATCCAAAGCACACACTCTGCTAGAGAGAAGTTCCCCGAAGATGGGCGCCAGCATGAGTCCAAAAGCTTGGAAGATAAAACCTCTGGTTGTAGTGACCGACCCAGATTGGATCCTTAACATTATCCTGGGACAAGTATATGTGCCTTCATTTGTGAGTAAAGAGTATAGAATTCAGTAAAATTTTACCTGAGGAAGTATATGGTCAGGAATGGTCAGCTTATTGTCCAGAGGTCTAGTACAGAACTCACTGTAAGTATGATATGCTTTGCAACCAAGAGCATTTTTACAAACTGATGGTGCTGGGATCAGCCCTTTCTAAATTACAGCCATTGTCCTAAAATGGGCAGGGATGGGAAGCTTCATAATAAATTGGCATTAGCACTCCCATGCTGATGAAGCAAGAAGGAAAAAACAGGTTTAATTCTTGGTCTTGGTCCAAACCCTTAAGAATGAAATCCAAGGTGAGGTGGTTAGAATTTATGATCCTTCCCGATGGTCTGCACATCCCTGTCAGCTGTAAGGTCTCTAGTGAAACTGCTCGTATTTAGGTGCCCTTTAGACCAACCTTTCCAGCTTTGTGGACTTGTGGGTGGGGGGGGGAGAGGGAATGGTTCTGTGCAAGCAGCAGGTGCACATGCTCACAGCTTCATTTATGCAAGTGGCAGGGGTGTCCGCTTGCTGTTTGCACAAAGGGCGCTACAAGTGTGAGCAACCCACCGCTTGGGCAAATGGAGCTTCCCACTTAAGCACAGATGGAGCTGCACATCCTCACACATCGCTTGTGCGACCAGGTTCCAAATAGGCCATAGCCCAGTACCAGGGCCACAGCCCGAGGGCTGTGGACCCCTGCCTTAGACCAATAAAAAGTGAGGGTTAAGATCAGGCAAGCCCAATTTATGTAGAGGAAGTTTTCAGTGTGCTGAACCTGAAGTTGGGTTTGCCTTAAACTGGAACTGCATTCTCCTTTTCAGAGAATTGTCTTGCTGAAGGTACCTTCTAAATGATGGATTGTCGAGTCCAAATCCACTGAAAGGAATACAATTATCTTCTGGACAGCAGACTGAGCTAAGTCCCTTGGTCACAGTTGTCCCTATTACGATGAGATTCATTGTATTCTTCTTTTTGTCACACTATTTGTGTTAAAATCTGCACCTCTGCAAATTAACTGCCATATGCAAACTGCAGACAAAAGCTGTGACCTTGTGTGTGTGTGTGTGTGTGTGTGTGTGTGTGTGTGTGTGTTTCTTCTTTAGTGCCAAATAACAGGACATACTTACAATGAAATCCTTTTTTATAGAAATTCCAGACCTTTTCTCCAAGCTGGAGTTTGGCATTTGGCACGTGGTAGCACTGTCTCAATTGACACTGTATGGTTCAGATACTAAAACCCTTAACCAGATAGAGATATGTTTCTGTGTATTCACATACACATGCACATAAGAAGACCATTATTAGACCCTGGAACTTAATTCTGGTTTCTCTTTCAGCTGCAGGTGACTTGTCTTTGCCTCAAAAGCCATTCCCAAGATTTCACTAACAAGGGAGAAGTAGTTTTTTCCCAGACAGGTCACCTTTAAAAACATCCATTTTATTTTCGTTTTTTGTTCTTGAACTTTTCCAGAGTCTGAGTTACAACTGCTTTGTGCAAAAAAAACCTTACCCATTAGTGATACAGTAATGTAAATGTGGTGCTAGCCAAGAAAAAAGGTGCAGTGAAGTGAAAGAGAGAGATTAGATGAGAGAGAGGGAGGGGGGGGGAGAGAGAGAGAGAGAGAGAGAGAGAGAGAGAGAGAGAGAGAACCTTTATTGTCACTGGAGCACAATGGCATACATTAAAAATGAAATGTAGTTTCTTGCTCTCAAAGTGTACACATACATAACACACAGTTAAACATACTATATACAACATATGTATATAAATATTAATCACTGTCCATCTTGAATACATAACAGAAGGAGGAAGCTTCGGAGGCAACAGAGCACCACCCTGGTTGCCGGGAGAGATAATATCAGGGTGACTCCTGTTCTCCTCCCTTCATCTCCATTTGCCTGGGGTCAGGGCAAGGGCTCTGCAGCTGCTGGCATCAGATTAAATGCCAAAGGGGGAGGGTTATAACAAACTGTGGGTATAAAGATAGAAGAACAGTGCCATCCAGTCCTCCCCCTGAACCATCTCTGCCTGTTCAGCCTCATCAAGAAGAAATTTTAAGCCATTAAAATACAATAAAAGAGAAATTAAAGGTAATCGCTTTGTAAATTATAACTAATGGAAATATCAATTGTGATTTTTATGATCAGCAGGAGCGATATGCGGAGCAGCCCAGCTGCAGAAGAGGCACATTGAGAAGGAAGAGCGCAGGCCAGCCACTCATTCAATCTGCACTGAACTCCCAGTAGACCATCTGCACCAGGGCCAGAGGTCAACCTGGAGACTGGCAAGCTTGACAGTCTTTATGACCATGCTAAAAGATCTATCTGGATCAGGGGTCTTCAAACTTGGCCCTTTTATGACTTGTGGACTTCAACTCCCAGAATTCCTCAGCCAGCAATGCTGGGAGTTGAAGTCCACAAGTCATAAAAGGGCCAAGTTGAAAAACCCCTGATCTGGATCATTCACTGATTGGATCTTTGTGTGCAGTTGTTGTTGCTACAGCCGCTGTAATGGGCCCATTGCAAACACTGCTTGAAATAATCCCAACTGAGGCATTTATTTATGTGTTTGTTTGTTTTAGGTTTGCTCCTATTTAACATGGGTTCAGGGAAGCTACGTTTGAGTCATAAAACATAAAGCAGTTTCAAGGTAGGAGGAATTAATAATTTCCACCGGAATGGTGTGAGTGGTGTTTTGTTTTTGTTATTGTTTCAATAGAAGAAACAAATCCAGAACTGGAGTAGGGTGCATGTGTGAAAAAGAAGGCATTAAAATTAAACCTATTTTCATAGGAAATGCTTTCGGAAAAGTGTTTGGACAAACCAAATGGTTTAGTAAAAGAGCTTTAAAGTAGCCAAGAGTTGAAGAAAAGCATAAAGGTGAACTTTGTCGCATGATAGTATTCCGCAATCTAATGACAGATTTCAGCTTTCTACGGATGTAATGAAGCTGTTTACATGGAGAGGAAGTATTTATTCATGTTCCTGTAGCATCTTGAAACTCCCAATAGCTTATTAAATTAATTAGATTCTTTGGGTTCCTTTCCCAGAATTTTGGCCTGAAGCAATCTTTCAAAATCAAAAATATTTCATTAATGAAATCAGAGGCTTCTTTAATGAAATCAGAGGTTTCTGCCATTAAACTAACATTTGCTACATGAAATCAAAAGTCTCTGTGAGCTACAAGGTCATTGTGTTTTGAAATGACATCAAAGTTTCGACTATTTAAACTAGACTTTGCTGCATGAATCACAGGCCTCTATTATTGTTTAAGGTTCAGATGCTCACTTTTTAGCTCATTCAGTAAAGCATCCATACAACCAAAAATTCTTGAAAGCCAGCATCATTCCTTCTGGCACCTCTGGCTTGCAGCACCCCTACATAATACGCATGCTGACCACCATCCATGCTATTTCACACAGCAGTTGATTGACTAAGAGACAGCTGACCAAATAAATCACTAGACCAGAGCAATCTTCTTTACACATAAATAAATATCTCCTTTATGGTTGCGCAGCAGCAAGGGGGTTATCTCTCTCAAAAGAGGAACCCTGATCAAAGCAACACATACTCATTTATATTTTGGCAAGCTTACAAAAGAGACAAGGCAAAAACACTAATTGGTGACACCCTGAGGTAGAGAGAAAGTGTTGATTGGTGACACCCTGAGGTAAAATATTGGCTGGTTACATTCCAAGACACCCTTTGCTGACTCACGTTTGTTCAGCAAAGGCTAAGGGACAGTTTCTGCCTAGGTGCTTTGTTACAGGCATGTGCCTTAGATAGATAGATAGATAGATAGATAGATAGATAGATAGATAGATAGATAGATAGATAGATAGATAGATAGATAGATAGATAGATAGATAGATAGATAGATAGAGGTACAGGTACAGATACAGATACAGATATAGATATAGATATATTAAGCTAGAACAGGCTCTTCCTTTCTTAAGCAGATAACAATGCTGTTGTCCTCTGCCTATTACTAACCTGAAACTGAGCCCCTGATTGGGATAGGATATAAGCCTAAAGTAAGACTATAAATGGGGCATGGCAGCCTAGCAGTTAAGATGCTGGGCTTGTTGATTGAAAGTTTGGCAGTTCAAGATCCAAGTACCGCATGATGGGATTAGCTCCCATTCTTGCCCCAACTCCTGCCCACCTAACAGTTTGAAAGTATGCAAATGCAAGTAGATAAATAGGTACAACTTTGGTGGTAAGGTAATAGCATTCCGTATGCCTCGGTATATAGTCATGCTGGCTACATGACCATTGAAGTGTCCTCAGACAACGCTGACTCCCTCAGCTAGGATACAGAGATGAGCATCGCTCTGTAGAATGACACATGACCAGTCAGGGGAAATCTTTACCTTTTTTACCTTTAAGAATGTAAACAAATACATAAATGTATGAGATGCCCACAAGCACTTTAACAGAAGTTAAGCTGAGGCTCTGAAGAGTTGTCATTGACTAGCTAAAGAGATTTCTCATTGCATCTCCCCCCAGAAAAGAAAACATGAGCATCAAGATCCACAGGCTTTCTGCCATATGAGCTACAGAATGGAAAGGCCTCCAAGGAGCTGTAATTCTTTGTTCTATGTTAAACAGCTTTATTTAATAGGCTTGCAACAGCAACAGAAAAGGTAGATTTTAGTGAGTTATAAACATCTCCCTGGATGCACAGTCATAATTATCATTGTTCAGTATCAATCTATCTTTGTAAGCATGCTGCTGCGGTCCTTATCCCGTTGATGACAGATTCAGGTCTGCAGTTTTCGGGTGCTTTTACATCTGCATTGGATCCAGTTGGTCAGGTTGCCCTAGTAGCCAAAATTACACCCTCTAAGGAGAAACTGCAGCTCTTCCTCTCCAGTGAGGATCTGCTTGCCAATTATCATTTGTGCTTTTGTTACTCAAGACAAGACTACTACAATACACTTTATATAGTAAGAGGACTGTGGAAAAGGCTACATGCTATCCCCAGATATCACCAATTTTTCTTTTACTAATGTTATTTTTAATAGGGTGTAAAAAGTAAAATGAATATGTATGTGATTAAAGAGTAACCATATTCATAATATGTAATTTTAATTAAGTGTAAATGAAAGCATTTTAAGCTTTCTCTTAGCCCCATCAGTATCTTCTGGGAGGTCAGCCTATAGCATATTATTCAGAGACCAAATACATCCCTCAACCCAGAAAAAGCTGAACACTTAAGCTTAAGACAAAACCAAACAGGCCTCATTCCACTGACTTCAGTAGAGCTTTTTATTTAGGTATTTATTTACTTATTTACTTACTTACATACCTATTTATTTGTTTGTTTATTTAGTGTCCCACCTTTGTTATTTTTACAAATAACACAAAGCAGCAAACACATCCAACACTCCTTCCTCCTTCTATTTTTTCTACAACTCTATGAGTTGGGCTGGGCTGAGAGGGAGTAACTGATCCAAAGTCACCCAGCTGGTTTTAATGGCTTAAGGCAGGATTTGAACTTGTGGTCACCTGCTTTCTAGCCTGGCGCTATTGGCTCTCTAATGATATTGACTAGTCAGAGGCCATGCTGACTAGGGCAGATGGAATCAGAACTGGCCATATCACAATGGTTCCATGTTGGTGATCTGTCATCTGTAGGATTGCAGACTGAGATTCTTTGAAGGTTGGTTTCTGGAAATCTCAGAGAAAGATATTTCGCCAGACTTATCAAAAGTCTTATTATGTTCATCTTTTGATGAACCTTTGTTGAGATATATTTTCAGAAGACTGCCTCTCACAATGATTCAAGGATGTAGATAAATTCATGATAATGTAGACTAAGGAATTAGATTAAGGTCATATTCAGAAAATGTGTTTTTTTTTTAATCCACAATAAAGCTCAGATTTTTTTTTTAATGTCCTGGTCTCATTCCTTTTGGAAACTGTGAATTGATGCTATGTAGGAAAAAATGCATTTTTTTATCAGTTCTTTTTCAGTATGATGAACAAGCATCTGCTTCTCAGATTCTTCTCTTAAAGAAGACTAAACATTTGGTAAATTCATATGGGAGAAGCATGTTATTCTTGTGCTTATTTAATTACGAGGCAGTGGCTTTCCAAAGGCAAGGTTGTGGGAATGGTCTGTCCTGGGCCAAAAAGGGGTTACATTGTCTGCAAAGAATTTTAACCAACCCAACTAAAAGTGCTCTTGTTAGGCTTTTTGGTGACCTGAAGACAAAGGATGACCAGGAAGAGCCTCTTACCTGCTGAAGATACCAAGGAGGCTATTTAGAAGATTGGTGGTTGGTGTGGAGTCGAGTTGCTGGTGTCAACACACTATTGGCAATCAACAGTGCAGTGCAGTGACCGAGATGGACCAGGGTAGACTGGCGGTTATGTGGTTGTGGTAGTCTGGAACCTGCAGCTGCTGCTCAACCCCCTGATCCACTCCAGATGTCAAATTCAAGAGGTATGACACTGTACAAGGTATCCAAGGGATATGTGCAGGGCTTTTTTTTCTCACAGAACGCCCAGAACAGAGTTCTGGAACCTTTTTTGGATGGAACCTTGTAGGGTAGGCAAGGTGGGTTGTATGACGTGTGTGAGTTCCGACACCTTTTTTTTTTTTAGAAAAAAAGCACCGGATATGTGTGAATGCAGACATGCCAGAAGCAGATATCTAGTGGTCTCTGACTCCTCAGATTCCTTGGATTTCCAAAGTTCAGCTCCCAGATATCTAATTAAATTCCAGTGAAAGATATTCCCGAGAGCTTTTTCCATTGGATTGTTTTAGACAGGGAGGAGGTATGAGCTGCCAGGAAGGCTTCAGAGTATTGGAAAAGATGTTTAACCATAAAACACCTCCACTGCCTCTAATAAAATAGGCTCAGAAACATCCCCAGGAGAAGAAAAAAAGCATTTTTTTTTTTTTTTAGAAATTGCAAGGCAAATTTCAATATAGTTCTAGTCTGGATGGATGTTAATATAGTACTTAGATCCATAATCCAAGTGCCTACCTATCTGAGGGAGCCAAGAAATCTGAGGTCTTTCAGAATTGTATTTAGATTTTAACTGTGCTCTTTAAAGACTGATAATGATATATGATAATTTTCCAACCTTCTGCATGATGGTGGAGATTGTTATGCCTTAATTGCTATAAATGTTGTACTTGACATAATTGCTGAAAGCTGATGGCATTATAACAAACCTGTAGAAGCCAGAGTACTGCAACTCATACATGAGGCTGGTACGTGGTGGTGCAATGAAAGGTCAATGGGACAAGGAAGGTCTGAGTTCCAATCAAGACAGCAAGTGGTTCGGCACCTTTACTTTTATAAGTTAGCTTTTATTCTGCCTGGAAGAGAACTCCAGCCTACTGGATCTAGCCTTCCAAATTCTGGAATTTGGGAGTATTGAGAAAGCTCTCAACAGTTATGGGATCCCATTCTCAAAAACATTAGCCTTCTTGAAAACAGGGACTTCCTTTCTTTGCCCAGGGAGCACAGACATTCAAACTGGGAGGAGTGTGAGAAGAGAGGCTGACTCTGTGGCTGCTTATTTGTTGGTTTGTATCTATGTTGTCTTTATTATTTTTACAAACAACTCAAGGTGGTAAACATATCCGACACACTTTCCTCCTCCTATTTTCCCCACAACAATTCTGTGAGGTGGGTTAGGCAGAGAAAGAGAGTGAGCAGCCCAAGACACCCAGCTGGCTTTCATGCTTAAGGCATAACTAGAACTCACAGTCTCCCACCTTCTAGCCTTGGTGCCTTAACCACTAGGCCAAACTGGCTCTCTTAGCTTTCATAGAAGAGACAACCTTTCAGTCAATGAAACTCCTCGAGAGAAGGAAGACACTGTGGCAGTATAAAGAATAATAATAATTAATTCCAGTCAGCCCAGCAAAGGGTCACTTTAAAACAAATATTAAAACAAACATTCTCTTCTAAATCTTGTCTCTAGGCCCAAAACCTAAGCTTGAGGATGGTCAGGAAAATGAATGATCTCCTCCCTAGTATTTATAGGTTCACCTGCAGACTGATTTTTTTTTTCCCTTCCCTTTTTCAGTAGCCTCAGAGCAGCTGACTGACAAAAACACAAACAAAACCAGTATCCGTTTCTCCCAGGCAAAATGAAAGAACAGGGTGTCAAACTGCCGGCCTATGGGCCGGATGCGTCACACCAAAACCACGATCACCCCTTTGCTGACAATGGGGAAAAGGTCGCCATACATCACGACATGTCACATGACGTTGTGAGTTTGACACCCGTGACTTAGAAAGAAGGATTGTTGATGGTGGCCTGCTGAGTTGATGTGCATGATCTTTTCTCTTTTAGATCAGGGCTTTTCAACCAGTGGCATAGGTACCACCTGTGGTACATTGGCACCTGGCAGGTGGTACGCGACCATCCTAGAAAAGTGATAGCGGGGGAGGGGAATGAGCTGAACCGGTGGTAGCACCGCACAAGCCTGAGCGAGAGATGGTTGGAGTTGCAGGGCTGTCAGGGCTCAGTGGAAGTGCCAGGATCAGTGCCACTTTCCAGCTGATCGGTGCTTCTTTGGGGCTGCCAGGGCTCAGCGGAAGCACCAGGATCAGTGCCAGTCTCCAGCTGTAGCTCGGCGCTGATCCTGGTGCTTCTGCTGAGCCCTGAAGAAGCACCAATCAGCTGGAAAGCAGCACTGATCCTGGCGCTTCTGCTGAGCCCAGAAGAAGCGCCAATCAGCTGGAATGTTACAGCATCTCCAGGGTCTTGTGATTTACATTCAGATGCTTGGCAACTGATTCATATTTATGACAGTCACAGAGTCCCAGGGTCATGTGAAGTGACCAAAACCTGCAACCACCCAGCAGACGGGAGAATAAAAACCAAACACCACCCCACCCCCACTGCCAATCCTCAACAGAAATGCTCACAACAATGAAAACCTTGGACAGGAGGAGGAGCGAGGCCGGGCAGGCAGACAGGTGTATTGCTCGGCTGTGGCTTGGGGGGCACTTTTTTTAGTGCCATTGTAACTTTGAACAGTCACTAAGCGAACTGTTGTAAGTCGAGGACTACCTGTACTTTATCACTTTTTTTCCTTTTTTGGGGGAAGTCATCAAGTTTTTGACACCTTGCTAGGCGACTGGTGGTACTCGGATGTTGCCATATCCTAAAAGTGGTACAATGGGTGAAAAGGTTGAAAAGCCCTGCTTTAGATTGTAGACCTTCAGAATGTCCTTGAAGACAAAGAGAACCACAACATATATGAAGGTATTTTAAATCTGAACATCAGCAGCAATCAAGAGCATGCTCAGAAACCACCACTCCCAAGAAACACGCTAACCAAGTCAACATACAGTGGTACTCTTTTATATTTCCATCATTTATATGTAAACTTAAGCACGATGATACACACACATGTATAAATACATTCCTGGATTCCACTGGCTTTTTTTTTTAATTACTCCATCCACAGGAATTCCATAGGAATCTTTATAAAACACATGAATAGCTTGCCTTCCCAAAAGGCATGCAATGGTATGATGAGCAGGAAATAAAGAATCATTATCTATTCCTTAGTTTGGGCTGTAGTCTGCCATTGGCCAGAGTATCTCTTCATGCTACATATATGTGCATGCCAGAAGCATGCACAGCCTCATAGCCAGTGTATCCTGGTTGACCAGTCTGGAGCCCAGCAATGTCATCCTCCTCCAGTGTGAACTGTACTCTGGGATAGCTCAGGAATTGAAAGGGACAGCCAGGCAAGCCAATGGACTCTGTCCCAAGATCAGTCCCATTCCTGCCCTTTATTTTCAAACCAAATCAAATCAGTTTATTACAGCCATATGTCCAGAAACAGTAAAATATCCAATTGTAGACTACTTACATATATACATATATAAAAGTGCATTGAACATGATCTAATCTAAAATCTAATGATCTAAAAATAATATTTTTAAATATATTTATTTTATTTATGTTTCCGACAAATCCCCAGTGTTGCTGTGCAGAATCTAGCCACCTGCGCAATAATCACAGCCTGTTCATCCTTAAGCAGCCACTGGAGATAAGTAGTGTCAGAATGGCCTGTATACTTATTGATTATTGGGAATTCCATATCTGCAACTAAGCATTCAAAATATATATTTTGATTCCTACTATACATAAATTCTTTCACACTAGCTATTTTTTACCCAGAATGATTCCCTATTATAAAAGGATGGGGAAATTTTCTTCTGTCAGATCATGACTCAGCAGTTTCTGAGAAAGTAAGAAATTTTATATGGTAATTAGCATTATAGTGCATCCTAGCAACTGATTTATTAAATTCTGAGGTAGTTCCTATATTGGTTGTCTTACGTTCAAGGATGTATGTGTTCTATTTTGGATTGCTCTTTAATCATCATAATAAATTGATCTAAATCCATATACAAATCTCTGCTCAGCCCTGACATTTCTTTGGTAATCTCTCTGTCTAATCTCCCTACAAGATGTTTGTGCAAATGGAACCAGAAAAAGGTTGCGTGTAGCTTGTCCTGAGATTCCTTCAAACAATGGTGGACAAAAATGTAATCATTCAGCACTGATGACCTCTTTCCCCAGTATAAACATCAGGGAATCATCCAATTTTCTCTATCTTATTTAACATCAGCTTTTGACTGCAGAACATCAAATGCAATTGCCTTCCATAAGAACAAGACAGCTGAATAACTTTCCTTATCCAAATCTCAGTCTGAAATTGGATTTTAGTTAAAATTATCACTCTTTTAGGACAGCAGACGTCTCCCCCCCCCCCCCCAAAATTTATTCCAATACTGTTCAGAAAGGCTGGTGTCTTTTTTTTTCCTTCTTATTTCCTTTCTCTAAAGCTTCTTCATATCGACGCTATTGAAGTTTTCTATGGAAAATAATATTTAAAAAGGGAAGGCAAAATACTTTTATTTTACAGAGATTATGCTTCAAAATATAGTCTCTGTTTTTAATTTTCTCTTTGGTCTAAAGCTAAGAAACTAAGATTTACAAAAAAAAAAAAAAATCCACAACTCCATGTTGTGGGAGAGACTGTAGGATTTTTTTTTATGTCAAACATCTCAACAAAAGTTGAACATTGGTGATCAATAACAGTTGGGGCAGTTGACATGATTAAATGGGCCAAGAAAAAGAATCCTCATCAAGTTCTGAGTTTAGTTTATGGGCAACTTATTTCAAACTATGCATCCTTTATTTTATTACTGATGAAGGTTTACAATATATACATTTTAAATCACTTTTTTTCTCATCATAAGATAGTGAAATTTTGGTTTAAGAAGGCTGTAGACATGCAGTAGATCAGGGGTCTTCAACCTTGGCAACTTTAAGACTTG